TGGGGATATTAGTGGGAGATGACTGAGGTCTGACATTCCCCATCAGGTTTCAGCTCAGGACAGAGCAGATCCCTGACCCTTCAGACCAACCTGCCAGGGCAGAAACCCAAGATTAAATTACATTTCAGACCAGCCTTGAAGTCAGAGGCAAAGCCACGGTTTTCCTTGTGAAAGAGCAGCGTGTCTGCATGCTGTCCATAGATCTCCACCCTGCACATTGCAGGGATTCAGTACCAGGGTATGATAAATCATTCTGGAAAGGATGTGGTTGCACTAAACCAGGCTCACACACAAGACAAATTCGTTCTTCTGCACACAATAAATTACAGCTGTTCCCTTCGGGGGCTTCGCTGCAGCAACGCTCTCTGGATCTGCAAAAATGCATTAAAGCACTTACAAATCTTGTTCACAAAACACTCCTCGGCACCTGACCAAGCTAGTTTTCCTCCTCACTGTGAAGCATTTCCATTATTTGTTGCAAATTCAACAGAGAAATAGAACCCATTAGGACTGTAGCATCCCCCTCAGTGTCTGGCTCAGTCACGTGTACCCTGAAGTGAGAGGCAGCTCACACTGAGAGCTGGTGGCTGTTGATGGCTCTGAAATCTCTGGTCTCTTCTCAACCTACTTGTCATCCAATTTACAGAAACAATACCACCCAGAACTACACACTCCCAATTTGCTTTTTCAGTCCTGTTAACATAAGTTTTCTAAATACCTCAGTCTGTCACCACCAGTTGCAAGGCATCCTTTAACAGAAGTGCGATCCGCCGTTATAAAAAAAGCTGAGAGCCGATTTCACACCTCTGCTTGTTAAGTATTTTCTACAGCAAATAAAGCTCTTTATTTAAAAAATAATTAAAACTAACTCTTCATTAGCAGTTCAAATTGCCTAGGTAAATTTGGTCACAGCTCTAATTTGCACACTGTCACTGAACAGTTTTATCAAGCTGCTTCCTTTCATGCTTGCAGAGGATCACTTTGGGATTATTTCTCTTCCACACATATTTACACTTGGCAAGCAGTTATGAAAAAGCCAATCAACAATGGTAACACCCTTTAAAATCTTGAGATTGGAACCTCCCAGTGGCACTTTGCCACTGATGCTTAAGAGGTTAGGGAACTGGGTTTGTCCTGTTCTCAAGGAATGCCTAACCCAAAATCTCATGCACCTCAGTAAAAACTCAATGAAATATTGTTCCCAATTCTTCTGTACCTAACAAACTTTGAGTAAAGAACACGTAGTTTAACTCAGCAACTTTGTCACCTTGGTCATGGTAATCCATCTATGCAACTCTTCCTGCTTTTACCTGCAGGAAATCATTCTGCCTACAAATACATTATCCAGGCAAATGTGAGGGTTTGAAAATGAGCTCAGGGGTTTTAATTAACAGATTACCCCATAATCACTGATTTTCAGACCTCTGCTTTCACTGGCCCTCTATTTGACCCTTTGTTTCCCAATTCACTGGTGTTTTATCAACACTGAACACAAGTAGCCTTCCAGCTTCACTGGAATCCTTTAGCCCTGTTATCACAGCTCTTTATACAAGCACTTGATTTATTTTGCTCAAACACAGAACTGAAAAGTCACTAATATTTCTTCCCTGCTGGAATCAGGAAGGACTGTGGTTCTGAAGTGAACTCTGAATTGTACAGATTATTGGCAGCTTTTGGGTGGTGTGTGCCTCGTTGATTTGGACTAGAAAATCCATCTTAAGTCTCCCCACCAAGTTCCTTCATCTACTTTTACACATCTGCAGTTTTCAATAGGAAATAAATAAATTATTCGCCATTGTCTGACATTTCTGAGTAGTCTTATTTATTCAAATTTTGAGAGAAAACCAAATATGCTCGAGAGCACATTTGTACAGCTGAACACCTTTTGCTCCCACTAAATAGGGGCTCTAGGCTACCTCTTATCTCCCCAACCCAGAAGCAATTCAATAACGTGCCCACAGCCTGCTTAAGCCCCTTCTTCAGAGCATCATTTGGTGGTTTTGTCAACAGGCTGTAGCAAGCCCCAAAGCAAAACTATTCAATGTAAATCCCCTGGTGTACTCTGACCCAGAGAATTCCTATCAGGATGCTCTTTATCAAAACTCTTTAGTAAGAAAAATGAGTTACTACACACTTCCCTAAAACAGGCTGGCACAACATCGTCCCTGCATCCTCCTGCTCTTCTTCAGAGACAGCTCTCACTTAAAACTGAGGCTGACTGACACTCTCTGACCTTTAAGAAGACAAACCACAAAATTACAGGGAAGAACACACCAGGAGCATCTCCCCTTTTCCTCTGGTAAACAGGATTGCATTAGCATAGTTCCATACACACGAGAGCAAAGATTACTAATCGTTACATCTCACCCTGGTGGCATTTGGAGCTTTGCTGTCTCACCCAGGCACAGGTTCATTTTCTCAGTAGAAACTATCACATTTTCAAATTTACAGGTGATTAAGTTAGAGCTGCTTTGGCAACTAATCCCCCCAACATTAACATTTTGGTGAAATCTCACTTACTTGTCCATTTTTGATCAATTTACCTGAATTCCTAAAAAATAAACTTATAAACCAATTGCAGAAATAAGTCTATTTCAGAGGGGTGTCATTAATACAAGCTGCCTCATATTCCTCTTGCCAGCTTGAGTTTCTTTTGCTAAAAAACAAATTTTAAACTCCTCTGAAAACACAGCTGTAGTGCAAATGGGCAGCACCAAAGAGAAGGCAGGCCCTGACCCTCAGACAGAATTTTTCATTCTATTTCAAAATATTTTCCAGCTTTTACTAGAAATAAAACACTTGCAGAAAGAAGGGAGTAACTCACACAATCATCTGTGTAGAATCCAGTACTCCTCTAATTTAATAGTTTTTCTCTAGTAATGAATACACAAAAAACTCCTACAAGTTTTTCAACATTCCTTCAGGAGAAAGAGGGCAGCAAAAAAACAGAATTTCAAACATTCAAAGAAAAAAAACACCCAATTTTTTATAATTGATTATATATTCTTAGCTAATGTAAAACATTTTGAGATGGTAAAATCTGCAAAGTTTTATGAAATACTGTGATCACCAAACCTCTATTTCATGCCTTATTAACATTTTTAAATTCTCACCCCTTGAGTACATATGCATTAAGCATAGGGAGTAAATCAGTGCTCAGGCACAGCATCCCTCTGTGTAGCTGAAGGATTCAAAAAGATTTCATCCTTTTATAGTATTTATAAAATACTTTTTATATTATATATTATTTTAAATTATAATCATCACTGATTATACACTTGATAGTATGATGACTTGTAAAGAACTTGCATTTTTGCACAGTGATCTATTCTTTCCTTATTTGCCTTTTGCTTTGCTATTTCTCTCAGAGCATCAACATCGGGCAGGGAGAAGCTCAAACAAAACCAGAAAACACTTTCTGAGAGAAAGTTAAGGACTTTTCAGGTTATTCATCTTTCAGAGTACCAAGGAAATCAGGGAGAAAATCCTGCTGTGTCCCTGACACCACAACACATCTTCATTGGAAAACAATGGGCTGGATTCAAAGACAGAGTCATCAAGCTGAAGGTTCTCCTGTAGAACTTTTCAACTCGGTTTTGCTCCACAGGGGGCTGTGAGCCTGCTGAGCAGAGGCTGGGGAACAGCTTAGGAATAGGCTGCACAGCCACATTGCTCTGGATAATCTGCTACAGCACACTATCTGTGTATCACTCACGTGGCTTCAAAAAGGGTCCTCCAGGGAAAAGGTTTTGTCTTAATTTAGGTGTATCTTTTGCCAGATCAGGTAGCAGGGCCATTTGTGTTTTGATGCATTGAGTTGAAAAGTCTACTCTGGTTTTCCAGCACAAAAATATTCAAGGTTTCTACCAAACACACTAAGGTGGGAAGCTACTGATAAAATAAGAAACAGCTGGTAAATGAAGACAAGGCACAGTGTTAAAAAGAGAAACTGCAGTGTTTTCCCTGCAAGAAGGACGTCAGCATCTCCCATAAACCCCGTGTGAGCGGTTAACATACATTTCACTGCAGACCCACAGAAGAAGTGGATATTTAAGTGCTGAAAACCAACATATGGTAAATTTTAGCAGTGCTGTTTGAGGAAGGATGACTAGTCATCTGACTGGCAAAGTCTCCCAGAGGAGGAGGGACAGCACTGAGAGCACAAGTATTGATCACAGCTCGTCAGAACACAGCAGAGGTCAGGGAGAGCAGGCAGGGCTGTCCCCAGAGCCAGTGCCCCACCAGGGGCTTCCTGCTGCCAGAGGCATTGGAGATCAGTCCCCCAGGCTGTGACACAATTCCATGTGGAATTCTGCTGCTCCTCTGTATCCAGGTGGCCAGACACAGTTTATCTGACTGCACATTTCCAGAGCAAGAGAGAACATGAATTGGCAGACCCTCTGTTCACAGTATGCGTTTCAGGACATTTTGGAGCAGTAATTTTGCAGATCTCAGAGTTCATTTGTTAGAGGTTCAATGGAGAGAAACACAGCATTTATTGCCAAGGAAAGGAATCTTCGTAGGTGATGTACATCTGACAAAAATGTATCTGCTAATGTTTTCATACTATCAGAATCTCCTTTCTCTCTTAAAGATATCCATTACTAAAAGTGGTGGAGTTCCATAGCACATTCCATTGACTGTTTGACAATAAGGAAGTATAACCCTGTAGTACCACAGTGGCAACTTTCCCAAAAGATGTCCTTTTGTCCAAACAAAATTTCATATTCATCAATCAAATGCACACACAATGGTCAGACAGCATTTCTGCTAAAGATAAATGGCAGAAGTTCCATTCAGAAAGCAGAGGAGGTTTTCAGCTGCATGTAAAAATAGACACATTTACCACTTCCAAAAGGACAAATGCTTCTTCTGGAAATTTTCTAGGACAGTAGCTGCAATTCAGTCCTCAATTTAACTGCACATCTTTCAAGAGCAAACACACAAAAAATACACACCATGGACACGGAGGCAGAGATGTTATTGCTGTGAGCACTCACCTCATAATTGGCAATGGCTTCTCTGTCGAGGGTTCGGGTCACAGACACATCCCCAGTGATCTCATTGATTCTAAAAATCCCTTTTGGGTCTTGATCCACTCCCTTCCCAGAGAGTCGAAACTTTGCTCCCTCTGTCCCTTCACTTCTGATGACCTGTGTGGCAGAAAAGAGGTGACAGGCCGTAATATAACATCTTTGAAAATCACTCTAAAACCACTGCAGTAATTTCAGCCTTTTACCTAATGCTGAGGTGTATTCCCTGCCAATAAAATGGAACTATAAAATAGGATTTCAATCATGCAGAAAACATTGTGCAATTTTGTGCTAAATCCTGGAAAAGCTACTCATGTCCTTAGCCAGTTCCTATGTTATCTTTAGTGTCTTCTATTTAACCACTTAAAGTTTCTACTATTCCACCACTATTGTGGTCACTTTGTGTTTAGAATTTAACGTCATATTTAATGCTATTTTTTTAGTTAAATTGATAAAAACAGTATGAACTTACAAAAAAAAAGAAAAGAAAAAGAAAGGAGATATATTGTACTGATTGTCATGGAACACACTTATTTCACAACAACCTTTACCATACCAGAGAGCCATCACACAAGATTTTCCAGTTAGTCCATCCTTTTTATTAGCCATTGTGAAGTCATGACAAAATAGACTATTTTCACGTTGGTTTTTTTCCCCCTTTATTCCTTTTTACACTCTTCCTTTCCCAGGATTTTAAAATAAGGGAAAAAAACTCTACATGCAAATATCTGAGTATCCTGCCCAGAACTCTGCTTAGTCACACCGCTGGAATTAGAACACTTCCCAAATTTGTACATACAGATATACCCACAACTCCTTGTTACCATCACCTTATTTCCCATAAGAAAAAAATCTCTAAAAATCCGATTTCAAGTCAGTCTCACATTAGTGACAGCAGCATTTACGAACTTCCACAGCCACACATGCTTTGCAAGTTTGTGTTTGTACATCAGAATCTGAAGGATTAGCAATTAATCTTGCCTTTCAAGGCTGACTATTTTGCCAACTCGTTCCTTCCCACTGCTGTTTCATGTTCTTTTGTTTTCCAGCAATTTCACATCACTAATATTTCTGCAGAAACGTTAAATCAAAAATTTATATGCTGGTCTGAATCACAGCTCAGGAAAAGGAAGGGAAAAAGTCGCCTTAGAAGTCTGGACCTGCTCCAATTTGGAGATTATAAATATGCAGGTTGTTGAATAATGTCCCCGAGGAAATAAGTGTTTGCTGCCCTATTGCTGTGGGTTCAGCAACACTGGTTTGCAGATTACTGGGCAGTGAGATTTTTGACTTAACTCCATAATCATTATTCCTTTATTTTAATTGAGAAAAAAATTGCCACAAGTTATGAAATAGGAAATCAGCATTTTCAGAGATAAAGTTTCCATTCGCAAACCCTTTGGGGATGGGAGAAATTTCAAAGTAAAAACCTGTTTCACTTTTTTTTTTTTTAATTCCTCCTTCCAACACTCAGAAACGCTAATGGAAGAAATTTCCTTGTGTATTTTTGAGTGTGGGATGCCAAACCAACACTGCAGGTGACAAAAGGGCAAAGTCACTTTGCAATTTCTGGTTTCCTGATGAGATTGAAACCTAATGTCTCCTACTGAAAAGTTACCTACTGGTCAGTCTGGTATTTTTTACATAAAGCCTAAAAACATCTGTTTTTCTCAACACAAAGCTGTGCTCAAGATTTTGCAGTGCCATGATCATTACTCACTTTTTTAGGAAAAAGATGAATTGATGTCTGAGACTTATTCCAAGCCAAGTGCACCTTCCCATCCAGTATAAGAACAGTGATTTGAAAGACCCGAAATCAGCCCCAGGCCAGCACAAAAATCTAACTCAGAGATGTTTCCACTACAGCCATTTCCACCAGAGCCATCAAATATTACCTGTTTATGACAAATTTAAGATGCAGTATAGGCACAATGCCCCAGTTCTAAGAAGCCACAGAAATAAAGCAGAACAAATGTTGAGCACTGCAAGGGAATTTATCAAAAATCTGCCAGACAGAAAGGCAGAAGTAGAATAAGAAAGAATAAGAATAAGAAAAAATAAGAAAGAATAAGAATGGGCCCTGAAAACCTGACTGGAAGGAAAATTTCTTCTCAACTTCAAATCTAGCAAAGATCTTAACCTTGAGTTTGATTGCATGACATCCCAACGTGGTGCCTGAAAGATTTGTACTCCTTGGAGCTCTGACACATCCCATAGCTCACCCCCACTCGAGCAGCATCTAATGTACAGGAACAACAGAGTTCCCAGCCAGCAGAGTTGTTCTGGATGTGCCCACTCAGCTTTTTTAAAGCTTCAGGGATCTGTCACATCCAGGGTGCAACTCTGTGCAGACCTTTCTCTTTTATCTGTGTTATATATATGTCTGTGCATCCAGTTATTGCACAGCACCTTGTGCTCGATGTTTTATCACAGCCCAGGAGCTGCTCCGTGTGCCACGGCATGGCTGTCATCTCACAAAAAGGAATTTTCAGATTCTTAAAACCGCTTAATTAGCCACAAGAGGGAGCTGCAAACTCCCAGGAATACAAGGGAGAACATTAACATCTCCTAATTAAGATGCTTATATAATGGCTGCATAGTTCAAAGAAAGTGCATTTCCCAGTTCGCACTAAGCTCGGTACAACGAAAAGTTTAATAAAAATCAGGCTTAATTTGCCATATGGTTTGGTGCTTCAACAAGAGCAAAGAAGAAAACGGGAGGATTGTCTGACATCTCCTCTGGCAAGACTGATATTCTGAACACTGGTATAAACACATGAAAATGTCCTTGTTCACAATGCCTTTGCAGAACAATGCTCTCCCCATTTCCTGGCTGAGATAAAACAAGGCCAGATTATTACTGCTGGAATGTTTACTTCGGGGTTTCATTTTTTACATTTCTGAAATGCACAAATGAAATCCCACAGTTACAGCTACCTGAAGGCCCGACAAGAAACAGTTATTTCCATCATTTTTTTTTTTCACAGCTTCAGGAACTTCAGCGCAGGCTCTAAAATTGGAAATGTCTGCACCACACAACAGTGTTGCATAGAAAGGCTCTTCATTCTTAGGGATGATCATTAAGGCAGCACAAGACCCTGTCCCCCACCCACAGAGAATATGGGGAAGGCAGTCATACCCTCTTTAGGTTCCCACTTCCTACCTGTTTCATTTTCCCTTGGTTTGATCTCACAATTCAGAACAGCCTTGACTTTGCATGGGCAGATGGCCCAGACAGAAGAGATGCCAGCTGAGCATCCCACAATAATACAGACTATTGAAGGCTATTTCCTCACCCAGGACCCAGGGGACAGTCCCAGATGTAGACTTAGATGCCACTCCCTTCCCCACGTTTTTCCCATCTCGAGGTTATGACAGAGAATAAATGTACTGGGAAGTGAAGTGATCCACACCAGCCTTGTCAGGGCCACAGATATAACACCATGACAGAGCAGCATTTTTATTTTCCAAAAAGGCAGAGACTCTATGATTCTGCTCAGCTAAAAGACACTTTCAAGAAAACAGAGCATTACGTAGCTGACAGGATCTGCTTTTTGCTGAACCATGGCCAAAACATATTTCCCAAGTGCTATTTTTCAGCTGACATTATGTATCCCTTGCAGCTAAACTCATTTCTGCAATGTGATCCCCCTGTTGTTACGGGTTTATCACAAAAGTAAATCAGTGTTCTCAAGAGAGGAAGAGAAATGGAAGTACAAAAAACCCACAGTGCCCCCAGAGAGAAACTTCACAATTCTGCAACCCCAGCAAATCTGTCCTAAGCAGCACCATCCTCCTTTACCAGTTTCATTCTTTAAAATGTGTTTGCCTCAACCACTGCCATGATTTCTTAGTTCTTGACACCAGGTGAATTTGAGATGCATCATATTAGTTTCACTTTTTAATTAGAAAACAAATCCCACCCTCAGACAGGAATATTTGGTTCACGCTCCAGTTCTTTTCATTCCAGAATGTTAGAGTGTCTCACTGGTGGTTTTTTTATTTTTATTATTATTTTATGTAGGGTTGTTTGGTTTTGGTGTTTCCCACTTCCCCATGTGTCATAGGAGGCAAATTTATTCATGGAATATTTAAAGACGAACTGGTTTTTTTCTCTTTAATCACTGTGTTCCACAAGAGCAAAACAATAGTTTAGGCCCATTGTTTAGATACTGTATAAATATTTAAACAGACACTTCCTGTCCTGCCATACTGAAAATCACTCTTTACAGTCAGAGGCTCCATCTGCTCCACACTGACTCAAATACTCTTTCAACCAAAACAAATGCAAAATACTCCCGTCGTTATTCAAAAGCATTAACCAACAGAACCTGCTTGGGTGCTGCAAGCTGAACATGCCAGACCTGGGGCTAGAAAGGAATTCATATGATCTGCTGAATTTATTAATGTATCAAGAAAAATGATTACTTCTATCTCCATTAATTAAACCTGACCTTTGCTTTCTCTCTGATTAGGGTTTTCTCCAGATTCACTCCATATACAGGTGATAGCCAAGAAAACCCAGGTGATTTATTCTCATCATGGTAGCAGAAATTATAAAGCTTTTCTGAGCAACTCTGTGCTTTGTTCATGATAATTAGGGATAAAGCCAACACTCTGTATATGACAGGATACCTTTCAGGTAACACTTTTTCATGTTCACAAACAGCCTGGCTCTCAGCTACATTATATTATCAACCAAAACACAAATGGACAAGTGCCCATCCAGGATGTCATCTCAAACAACAGCTGAGCTGATGGAGACAAGAATGAACAATATTTCCACAGTTCAAGTAAACAGCAGAAGAAAACTTCAGCAATTAAATGAGCTCGTGCAATACAACAACTCAGGCAATGTCAGAGTCTTAAATTTCAAAACATTTCCAGATCAGTTTTCAAACTCCAGCCTATGGATGAGGCGAGATTTTCAAAGCTGTGAACATCTCCACGTGCTTCCACTGCAAAGCTGAAATCAGCCAGTCACTCACTCAAATCCTAATATTTGTGCACTCCAGAAACCTTGGACACAGAATGGAAAATGAAATTCAACCAGCAATCTGAATATACAACAGTGGCCCAACCTCCCAGGGTAACAGAACACAAAATTAAGGTGAAGAGAT